ACTCAGACCTCGTTAATTATTACGCGCTCGAACCGGTCCTTTTACGGGCCAAGTATTTCTTCTATCGCCCGGCGCCGTTTTCCTTTTTCTTCTTCTTTACTCCACTTCTTCTCACTTGTCCCATTCCATCGCTTTTTCTCCCTCCATTTGAAATCTTTCTCCGCGAATATTCCCGCCGGGAAATGAAAAAATAACACGCTGCCTCGTCGCGTCAATTTATTACGTTTAATTAAATCGGGCTGTTAGTGAAAACATACACCGTGAGCGAACGTTTCGCGGGAAATAGAAAAGATATTTCCGAGAGAGAGAGAGAGAGAGAGAAAGCGTCATACACTTTCGACTACTCGCTCTAGAAAGAGAATACAAAATGGCCGATTGAAAAACGCGCGTTTCCAAAGGAATCCTCTGCGAACGAACGTTATAGCATATATTCTGCCGTATTTCTCGAATCGAATCTGTCGACAAGTCGATCAAAGCGTTTGATCAAAATATTCTCGAGTCTATTTCCAGGAATTTTGTTAGAAGTATGTTTCTTGATAATGTAAGTTTTAATTTATGATATAACTTAACAATAAGCGCTAAATGTCAATATATAGTTTATGTTATAATAAGTTACACACATTGTTATAATAAGTTACACACTAGAATGTTTATTACATTTGAGGAAAACGACGAACCTATTCTCTGGCTCTTCGTTTGGTTCCTCGAATCTCATGGTATACACGACGCAGAAACGTTCGAATTTGGAGATTTCGAGTTCTAGAAAGTGAAAAAACATTCTGCCAAATATTGGCAGCCGTTTTCAGAGTCAAAATTGCACGTTATCGTCGAAACGTTTTGGAATTCGAGGCATTCGCAGTGTCATCCGAGCAGAGGGAGCCGGCATCGGTGACGTCTAACGCATGGCTAGAATTCAATTTCGTCGCGCGTTGCGTTTTAGACTATAATTGAAATTCTTACTCTGGCGCTAGTAATTCGTGCGCTCTTTGTGCCCGTGGCATCGCTCCCGATCTCTTTGATCGACGTTCTTCAAAGTCGGGCCAGGCAACCGGAAATCATCATTTATTGGCTGCCGCTCTGCCCCCCCCCCCCCCCCCCCCCCGGTCGTAAAATCGAGAGAACCATCGGGGGCGGATTAGAAATTTTTCTCTCTGCCTCTCCCTCACTCTGTCGTTCGAAATCGCTTTGTAGACGAGGCTGCCAGCGACTTGATTGACCATGGAACAATGCCGTGTATCTCTATCGAGGCTGTTTGATCCTCGGAATCTCGTTTGGAATCTTCTTTCGTCTAGTTAAGTCCGAAATTACCTTCGGGCGGCGCTGCCTCGGTTCGATTAAAAAGAAAAGAAAAGAGAGAGGAGGACGTACCGGATCGCCGGCGTGTTACCATTTCAATTTTGCTCGCTCCTCTATTTTTCAGCGTCGATCTTCGTCCCGCGTTCATCTGCAACGCGCTCATCAAAGTTTCACCGTATGATCAATTCCGTTTCCAAAGCAGCTTTGTTTTCCCCGGTGCTCCGTAGCAGATTGAAAACATACAATATCGGGAATAAGAATGCAACCAAGATATCCAAAGGAATATTTTACGCGCAAAGAGTTTGATTTCCGAGGAAATTTCAGCACGACGAGATTGTAATTCGAGGAGTGGTCGATTATATTCGTCGTTCGACAGAGAGGGGGAAAAAAAAGGGTATCAACACTGACTTGGAACATTGAATTCCGATGGCGGACCGGAACGTGATCGAAACGTTGGTTGGTTGTACCATGGGAAGATAAATGGTACGATAAATGCTAGAAGGGAGAATAAATGTTTCACCCTTCGCGTAGCTGGGTCGTGTATACTTTATCGAAATATCGTGTTAATTCCCAATGTGACTGTCACGAGCAATGTACTGGCACGGTTAACATAAAGCCCTCGTTATTGTTCGCTGCCTGTTCGACGAACTGTTCCAGCCATGTTTTAAATTTCCAAACATCCTGTTTCGGTATCCTCGTTCACGATAAAGCAATGTCAATGTTCAGTTTCACCCTGTCGGCGGATCCGCGTGTTTCATCCGCAGATTTATTTCCGCGAACTCGAACATTTTTTGGCTTTCATTCGGGGAGGGGAATGCGTGGCCAATGAGCAACAGAACGACAAAAAAAAGAGAGAGAGAGAGAAAGAGAGAGAGAGAGGAACATTCTCTCTATCGTATCGTTTGCATTAAAACACCCGCCGTACTCGAGCCATCATATTAATTCCGTTTGCGTTCCACTTGCTCGTGGAAACTCCGCCGGCTTTTCCAACTTAAAACAATGCTCTGAGAGTCGATTGAAATATCGTTGGTTATAAAGAGGTCGAATCAGAATAAAAATACCGTCCGTGGTACGAAGGGAAAACCAACAAATTCTCGCGGCGTATCGTACGTACGTATGTGTGTACATACGGTGGCTACACGCTTTGTACATTGCAGTGTTCCAACAATTGGCCAGCCGGTGATTTCGCGATAATTTGCGAAAGTAAATACATGATATTACAGGGATCGAGAAAGTAAAATAATATTGTAGAAAACAATTTTCGTTTTACATTTCAATTATTTTAATTTTCTTCTTTTTTCTTCTCTTTTCACACAGAATCGATTAAACTACGATTACTCTGTTCCAAGATGATACGAGCCAGTGTATCACCGGAGACAGGGAAGAGAAAGATTTTAAGCTTGGAAGCTTAACTCCGGATGGTACTGTCGTAAGCTATCACAGAGACTGAAGCGTTTCTCGGAGTTAAGAGAGAACCCAACCCCCTTTGCACCGTTCTATCTTCTATCTTCTCGAGTCAAAAATCGCCCGTTAGAAACGTAATGCTGACTTTACGAGGAATGGTGAAACATGGCTACTTAAACCATAAACCAAAGAACTCGCTGCGTCATCGTAAAACATCTCAACGAAACTTTTAGAATCGAAAATCTGATTTGTTCAGGTCTAAACCAGGCGATAAGTGATCTGTGACAAATCGAAAGTTATATCCGAAGTTTGACGGATTTATCGCGTGCCAGCAAGGATTTACGATACGTCGATTAACAAACGGAAGAATTATCTTCGAATCTTGATTGGAGCTGGAAACTTTCTGATAGGAAGATCTCTTAAACTGTATGAAATTTCTCTGTACTTGGGAATAAATACGATGGCACGTCTCGTGGTGGAACGTTTCGTGCGATATTAAAACTCACAGCCTCTGTGACCATGTTCCTTTTCATTTCACGTAATTTCACATTATAAAATTTTATTAGTTCCAGTGAGATCGTGGAAATTTTGGAAGCAACGGAACCTTCTATTCTAATTAAATTAATTAATTTACCCCGGCATGAACTGAATATATTCTGCACTCGTATCTATTTTAGATAATGAATTACATCTGCACTGCAGCTCGTCCGTTTTCGCGTTTCCAACGCAGAAGTAACAAATGACAATCGCTAGAAAATGTCGAAATTGACAAATCAAATCTGCGATATTCATTTTTATATATCGTTCTCGCAATGACAAACGATACGGCGTTAGACGCGCGATGAAATCGTTTCAGTTTCAAATGATTCTCCGTGAAACGTTCACTTTTCGAAACATTTTTTTTTTTTGAAAAAAGGAAAAAATAGAACACGTTTCCTCTCGAACATTTTCGTTCGTTCGCGTGGCAGACGTTCGATATTTTTAACAACCTCTCGCGTCACCTCTGCTTCGCCGAGGTCTCGGTCCTCGAACTTCGAAAGTTCATCCTCGAGGAAACGTAGCCGAGGGAAATTTTCGTGGGAACAAACGCTCGAGAAGGTTGGCGCACAGCTCCACGAACGTCGAGCAGGTACTAATAGAACAGCCGGCAAGAAAAATATCGGTGAGCGCAGGTAAGTTATATTCGCGATTGGGTAAGTATTTAACGACACGTTGGCAGGATTTCGTACGAGGCACAAGACGAAAAGTTTCGCCGAGGACGCGGAGTCTCAGCCACTTTCCAGCGCGGACGATTTTTCGTTTGTTAAGAGAAATTCGAAAAACTTGTTCCTCCTTCTCTTTTGTTCCAATTTCCGACTTACGGCCGCGCGAACCGTGCGCAACTTTTGTTTCTGGCCTGATGAGAAATATTGGGAATTTCAGTTCCAAGATACTTTCCTTTCGGACGGAGGATAATCGATTGAAAAAGATTTTCGAATGATGATAATATTGGCTCACAATCAGTGCTAACGCTGAGCCAGTAATGTAGTATCGTAAGTCGTTCTTGAGTCATAACCTGTAATAGTTATTATATCTATAGTTGTGCCTGTAATATTTGCTGAAGAATGCATGAAAATTTCCTTTTTGAAAAAGTACTGAGAGTCGAGCGAGTGAGAAATAGAGTCGACTTTGAGTCGTAAGAAAGCGTCGATTGTCGATTGTTGTAATGATAAAGAATTGATTGAGTTATTTTATATCAGTAGTTAATTTGTGTTCGTCGCCTCGTTTAATTATCTATCGTTTAATCACCAGCATTGTTATTAAATAAATATTGCTTACATTTAACCTCTACATTTAACAGACCTCTGAAAGTTCCACACGACAAATTCCATTAATTGGTCATCCACGCTTCTTTCTCACCTCCCTTCGATTTACAATTGTAAAAACACATTCTTTCCCAACATCACTCAACAACCACGGTTAAAACTCGAATGAAACTCTGCGGAACGTGTTCCACGCGGAATCCAACAGAGAACGAACGTCTACCAGAAGCAGAAAAGTTTCGGAACGGAAAGATTTGTCAATAGAATCGATCGATGTGTGAGTCGACGATTTATCGCGCCGGCAGCGTAACAATCGCAGCCTGAGAATGCCAATTAACGGCGGTGAGCCCGATTGGAACTCGAGCACGTCTAGCTTCCAGCGTGAAGGAAACGATTAGTCGACAAGCCGTGGGTGGGAAAGGGTGCCGAGACTTTCGAGAGACGGCTCACGGCTCTCGGCGCGTTGATGAGGGTATTATTCCAAGAGTTTGTACGTACCTTGGAAAGCGTGGTGGGATGCGGATAAAGGTTGACGAGGCAGCTCTGCCGTCTGAGCCGATAGTCCCAGCGTGTCTCCAGATGCGGGATCTCCATGGTGTCGCAAATGCTTTGCACGTGGGAGGCGGTGTGCGCGCTCTGCGGCCCAAAAATCGCCGCCACGCCGCTTCGCAGCAAGTGGCACACTGAAATCAAACACCACACACCGCGTTACGCTTACGTTCTCTCGCGTGTTTCCCCTGAATTATCATTTCGCTCAATTTTTCCATCCGCCAACTTTCTGAAAAATTTCACGCGACCGCGAATTGATCGGAAAATTGGGTGGAGAAAAGTTGTTTGGGGAAAGAATTTCCGAAATATCGCCTTTCCTTTTGTCGACTGACTCGCGTGTTGCATTTGAACGTCGATTGAAATTCTTGGAACAATTAATAATTGGATACGTCGGTGGAAACCATATATATATATTCGACGTTTCGACGTCGACTGAAGCGTCGTAATTTGTTGTTCCGCAGCTCGTTGATCCACGCCCCGTCCGTACTCGTAGAAACAAAACAAACAGCGAGCTGTACACATATGATGAGACGACACGCGTAAATGCATATATGTATTTAACGTGTTTCTCGAATTCTACAAAATGCAACGAATTAATTAACAGAGAATTATGCCGCGTGCGACATAACCTTTTAGATTGAATCAAGTTTGAAGCTCATTGCGTCACGCGTAAAAGACGATGGGCGCAGACTACGATTAATTTATCAAAAACTACGTTTCCATTTGGAATCCGAATGCCGAATATTCATGCAGAATTTGTAGTTTTCTGTTATTGATATCCGTTACATTTACCTCTCAAATATCGCAGATACGCTGCTTCAATGATATTCATTAAAAAAGCATATACGTAATTCGTGGTGCAGAGTCAAAGTAATGCTTGCGCAGAGCAAACGTGTGTACACTCCCGCACAAAAGCTTCAGAACATTATACAATACAATACAATGTGTGATGCAATACAATATATGACAAAAAACATTAATGTATTTATAAGACAGAGTCTTTATTCTATAAAGTATATTCTACAAAGTTTTATATTTATTGTACACAATTTTGTATTTAATTTGACTTTATTGAACGTATGTATTGTTACATAGCAATACAGTATATTAATATATTAGTGTTTATAGTAATACAGTATATTAATATATTAGAGTATTATATTAGAGTATTTTTATTGTACAAAGTACGTTTCATATTTGTTCTATTTAATTATATTGTGCGTGTAATTTATATTCTTCTAACGTAAGTATCTTTATTTATTGCATATATTTCTATTGTACCATTTTTCATTAAACGAATATAGTATCTCTGAGCGGGGATGTACACGAAAACAAATATTTGGTACGTTACGGAAAAGTTCGCCTGAAACGGGCGAAATATCGGATGGAGAATAAAATTCACGAAAATTTTCGACCAGCCGAATTTCTTCAATTTCCGAAACGCGCTCTCGGCTGCCGAGAAATTAGTTGGCGTAATAACACGAGCCATCGAGGCAAAGGAAATTTGTACGATACGATCGCGTATCGTACGGAAGGAAAAGAGTTGGGAGCGGATAACGTAACTGTCACTCGGCCGCCATTATCGATTAATCACCGAAACTCTCTCTCCGGAACTTGCGTCGTACAAACTTCCCCCTATAACCTGTTTCCCATCTTCCCCGTTCGACTCCGGAGGAGATCACTATGGCGCTTGGCAAACGAAGCATCGCCTCCCTCTGTCCAAACCGGCTGTATTTAATCGATCCCTTTCTGCCTTTAATTCGCCAAATAAGTGTCCCCTTTGTCATCGGTTTCAACTTTGATTGCCGCTGCGGCTTCCGAATAAATTACCGAAACGTAGGATAAAGTTCATTCTGTTTACCCAACGCGGACTGCCCTACCACCAGTAAAATGGAAACTTTGTTTTCTTCGTTTGCTTGATTGTCTTCTTCGTGTTCGAAGTTATACTCGTATTATTCGATTCTCGGCTACTTGACGCTCTAACTTTTCATCTTTCTCGGAGCGCAGAGAGAGAGAGAGAGATTAATCGCAAATTAATAATCGAAAGTAATATTTATCACGCTGTTTGTGTTGCATTCTCGTGATAATGATTGATCAGTGAAAAAAAACTTGCGGCCGTTTATACGAAGTAAATTACAACGTTTCGAAACGCAACGCAGTTGCGTGCTTCGTACTTTAATTCATCCCTCCTTCTCCCAATGGCCAATGTTTCATATTTCCAACGTCCGAAAAGAATACATTTCCCTTCGGGTCGGAACGACCGAGCGTTAATTAACAAGGTATTAAGGTAATTACGTTAATACGCACCGTGTTTAATACGTTTCATAACGGCGTTACGCCGGCTACGAGGAAGCAGATTATCGAATGCCAGTCACTCGTAATTAGTCGTGACGGATAATATTTTGTAATCGGATTCATTCCTCGTTAAAGGCGCCGCTTCGTATCTGCATCTGTCATTTCTTTTCCGATTTTATCTGTACGATTGAATCTCTCAACCCTTCCCGACACCTTCTCCAGTTTCCCGTTCCTCTCGTTGGAATCGTCGGTCTTGCGAAGATTTCGTCCACCTCGGTTCTCTCTTTACTCTACACCGTTGATTAATTATTAACAAACTCATCGAGTTTGCTCCTATTCAACGCAGACTCCTACATTCACTTTGAAACGTATATATATATATATCAAAAATAAAATGTTATCAAAAAACACGAAGATCTCTCTTTATTTTAGTTTTTTTTTTTTTTGTATATAAAGGGCCAGGTAGGTTCATGTTTTTTCGATAAAATTCCTAGATTAATGAAACTCGCAGAATAATGAGTAATTGAACGATATGTAAACCAGTTTGGAACTCTCGACTCAATTTCGAGAGTCAATTTGTAAATAGAATACGTCAGTTTCGCCGGGATGAATTTTTAACGAAACGTTGCATCGTGTTTTACAATAACCATTTGTAATGGATCTTCCTCATAGTCGTGTTCAATTAAGGTTATCATATTTCGCATTGTAGTATTTCAACGGTGAAATGCAAGATGTAACAGATAGTTTAGGGAGTTTATAACAGCATAAAGGAGGAAACAGAAATTTAACGAATATACAGACATCTCATTATATCAACAAATAGTCTTTGAGAATTCATTTTCTAGTTACCCAACCTGTTTCACAAATTAAATTCTCTCGATACGTATTCAGAAATTCAAACGTACGGTTTTGTGAATTTTTCTACGATTCGTAACTACGTTTTCTACATTTTCTAAGACGTGAATTCGTCGCTTTAGCGTTATTATTGTATTTCCTCACGCGATGGAGTACCTTCTTTCCGTTAGTAAGAAACCATTTGGCATTTCCTCACGCGATTTTCACGCGAACAAATCCGGAAATTTTCAATATGGCGCATATCATACGTCAACCTTGAAACGCCCCGAGCGTTGTCCGGTATTACTTTGAGACTCGACTTCTCTCTGTCGCATAAGCTCGCTTTGCCGATTCCGATTGAAAGAGAAAGAGAGAGAACGGAAGTACGTAAGTACACGCGAAAGCCTCTCTCGATTTTGTGGAAATAAAATTTAGTCTGCGGAAGACATTAGGCGGGTTTCCATCGTACAAACGATCAAAAAGCAACGAACGAGTAAAGCTCTCTTGCTACGGCTGGTACCGGCGTGTGTTTGCATGCTTCGCTATGCTCCCGGCGCGTTTGTTTCAGATGCATCGCTGTGAAATTCGCCTTCGCCAACAAATTCCGCGAGTCGAGCCGGCTGAATAATCCGTATTTCTTTTTCTGTAGCATTGTCGAGAAGAAAGAGGGGGAACTTTTCGAAGAACGAGTCTTGATTAACCCTCGCGTAGCCGACCACCGGGTCAACGTTGACCCAAAACTTGAGCGTAGCGAAGAAGCAAAATATTTTGAAGAAAAAAATATTTCATTTCTGAAGATTTTGACTGAAACATCATATAAAAATAAGATAAATATATTATTAGATACACATTCTGTACCAAAAAGTTAAGTGCAAAGCGAGTATGGTAAAAATTCAGCTACGAGGTGAAAAGTCTATCCGAGGGTTAACACGTATTTCGAGAGCGATTTCAATTAAATTTAAAAATCTCGAGAGTCTTCGAGTGAATTGATTTAAAAAACGAGGCAACGTTTAACACCGTCAGCTCATTTCAATTTTCAACGAGGCGAGACGAATCTCGACTGCGTCTGGGGAAATTGGAAATCCCGAAAGAACGCTCGCGTTTTCAAACTTCTCCCTCTACTGGGAGATAGTCAGTCGTTCGCAATCGGATGCGGCAAGTTCCTCGCCAACGAAAGTCTCGCGTATTTCTTTGTCAACTTCGAAACGGAACATCACACAGAGAGAGAGAGAGAGAGACCGTTAACATAACCGAGTTATACGTTCGTTCACTGGAAATGTATGCACGAGTCTTCATTTTCGAAACCAAGTTCTCCAAGAGAGCCTGTCTTTTTGTACAATTAAACGCGAGGAATAAAACGTGGTCGAAGAAAAAGTAAAGGAAGAATTGGGGGGGGGGGGGGGAGAAGGGTGAAACAAGCGGAGAGAAAGAAAGTTTCGAAGAAAGTTTTGCCTGGTTCTTGGAATATTCCTTTTTACTTGGTGACCGTTCGTAGCTCGCGGAATTGAAAGGGGAAGCACACGTTCCGAGAGAGAGATGACGCGAGATTGAAACATTTTGTTGTTCAGCCTTTCGGGAACGCGCGCCGTAAGGAAACGAACGCGTTATCTCGCGTGTGTTGTATTTTGCAACGTGCATCCGCGGAAGAAAGACGATATACCTGGCAGCGGGACCACGTATTTCCCGCTTGAATCCAGTTGGTATCATCCCGGCTTTGCGAGTTGATAGGATTATCGCTTGCTAATGTATCAAAGCCAGTTGGGCAAGCTGTGTGCAGCCTGAGAAACACACCCGCCATCCCTTTTGTCCCTTTCCCAAACTGAAGTTTAACTGTGTGTCTAACTCCTCGGGTTTCCCTTTAAACGTTCCCAACACACGGATGGTAATTAGAGAGAAACAGGTGGTGGCAATACGTGATACTTTCAACGGTAATCGGATCATCTCAGCTCGGTAAATCTTCATGCTGAAAAATAGTAAAACGGTGGATTTCGACGAATTCGACGAG